ATTAACAGGTCGCCCTCTCGCTCTCTTATTTCTTATAGCAGTACACATCCTTCGGGCATTCACGACGGGACAATGATGAAGAAACTAACATGTCTCTGAGTGACCAATCGGACTGGAACAGAACACGCACATCATTACTAAAGGATCTGACTGTACGGCGAACATCACTCGCCAAGCGATCATTGACAAATGGCAGTTTGATGGTGGATGTGTTACTGTACGATTGTTGTCGTTGTAGGGAGATGATCGTGGTGTGCTTGCACTATCCAGAACATGCAGTGGCCGCACTTGAACGCGCCAGCATATTCCGTTTCCTAAACCTGGTGCCAGGCTTTTTGGCCAGCTACAAGAATTTTTAAAAGTGATTTTTGTAAAAACAAAACAAAATGTACATGCACAGTAAAACCTGGGTTTAGCGACCACCTGCTCTTAACAGCCGATTTTTCCCATGCACCGACAGTTCTACACATACACTGTGGGACCTGGTTCTAAAGACCACCTGGCTTTAACGAACGATTTTGCATGCACCGTGGGGTGGTCGCTTAAACCAGGTTTTACTGTAAAGTAAAACCTGTCAAGGAGACCACTCGGAAAAGGCGACCAACTGTCCAAGGGGACCACTACCACCAGGACCAAGGGTTGTCAATTTCAGTCAAATGATCTTGGATAAGGCGACCAACTGTCCAAGGGGACCACTACCACCAGGACCAAGGGTTGTCAATTTCAGTCAAATGATCCTGGATCACCTGTACACAGCGACCGCATGTTTGAAGGTCTCTTGAGCGGTCGCCTCACTGTATCTCGCTCAAAAAGCCTGATTGCAAGAGTTGCGCCAGGTACATGTGTACCCGATTGGCTTGAAGTCCTAGAGTAGACAATTTTCAGATAACACTGGGCCTTATACCACTCAATCACTGCGATGCTATTCTTGCAGGCGTTTGGTGCCGTATGGCAGAAACGGCCTTATTCTCGTAGTTATGCAAAAGACGTTACTCCAGTAACGTCTGGCGCTGGCTAGGGTACACACAGCTTAAGGGCCGATTCCCACTACGGTACCGTGAGTGCCGTGCCGTGAGTACCCATGGTGATTTGCTCACGTGAGGGGCAGTTTTGGTGCGGGTTCATTCCGTGGCTCCTGCCGTACCGCGCCGTGGACATTCCGGTGCCGAGGGTCTCTGGGGGGTGGAAATGGCATGCCGTTGTATTCCGTGAGGTCGAATACAGTGTATAGTAGGTATTTTACTACTTCCTGATAGGAAGTTTTTTCTTTCTTTTGTATTTGTGGTACGAAGTGTTTTCTTGGCTTTTGACTTTTGGATTGGTTGATTTTTGAGCTTTCTCCAATCATCTCCCCCGCTATTTTCCCTCCAGACCAAAGTCAGAAATTGGTAAAAATGGCGATCTGGCCTGCCGACGGAATGCACGGAACGACAGTGCGCAGGTGTAAATCACTCTCAGCTTCAAGCTCGTACCGTGGGGTACACGTGACCTACCCAAATCGTCGGCACGGCACTCACGGTACCGTAGTGGGAATTCCCACTACGGTACCGTGAGTGCCGTGCCGTGAGTACCCATGGTGATTTGCTCACGTGAGGGGCAGTTTTGGCGCGAGTTCATTCCGTGGCTCCTGCCGTACCGCGCCGTGGACATCCCGGTGCCGAGGGCCTCTGGGGGGTGGAAATGGCATGCCGTGGTATTCCGCGAGGTCGAATGCAGTGAGTAGTAGGTATTTTACTACTCCCTGAAAGGAAGTTTTTTCTTTCTTTTGTATTTGTGGTACGAAGTTTTTTCTTGGCTTTTGGCTTTTCGATTGGTTGCTTCTTGAGCTTTCTCCAGTCATCTCCCCGGCCCCTGCTATTTTCCCGCAGGACCAAAGTCAGAAATTGATAAAAAAAATGGTGATCCGGCCTGCCGACGGAATGCACGGAATGACTGTGCGCAGGTGTAAATCACTCTCAGCGTCAAGCTCGTATCGTGGGGTACACGTGACCTACCCAAATCGTCGGCACGGCACTCACGGTACCGTTGTGGGAATCGGCCCTAAATTCCGTGTGTGTTTTATGCCGTCGGCATACCTGGAGATATCCCGTACCTATCCCGTACCGTACCATCAAAGACAGCTGGCCACAATATCCAAATAGGGCTTTCAAAAGCAAAATCATAACGTGAAGCAACTTGGAAGAAGTTGTATTTCTCGCCGGCCAAGCGCAGCGAGATAGGCGAGAAATGATTTCTCCCGAAATATTTTCACTTGCAAATATGGCATCTGGTGTGTTCTTTATTGTCGCTTCATTTCCTGACTTCTTCAGTCAGTTTTGAGTCTCACCAGTAACATCTGGCTGCGGCCAACCACCCTTCACTTTGTGTGTTGTTGCTATTGCTGTCTATGTCTGTGTGTGTGCCAGTTTATGTGGAGCGAGGATAAGTATGTAAGCGAAGTGTATCGGGGGAATGCATGCAGGGCGATATTGCGAGATCATCAAGGTGGTAGACGGTGTTGTATTACCCTCGAATGCAAAGAGAATGTTTATTTATTTCCCTCAGGACCCTACGCTATGCTTTTTTGCCTAGCTCATCATGCATGTTATTCGAACAGATGGAAACTTTTTGCAATACAGGTACAATGATGTAGCCGATCAGTTCGTTGTGGTATGGTTGGGCATTGTAGCCGTCATGGTGGACGTAAACCCTATTTACATACACAAGCTCGGGGAGCAAAAGTCTCTCTGTCCCATAAGCTTCCACATACCAGCTAAATACAAAACCATGCACTTCACACGAGCTGACTTGCACGCGTGGTCCTTTTCACGAACCCAGACAAAGGGATTGGTCTATTATGACGCATGTACGAAGTAACTACCGTACTGGCAATATATGTTGCCGCGTAACGCGTAACGCAGGGGGGTGCGGCGTAACGCGCGACCAGGCTAGTGCGACAAATTTTCGTTGAGTTCGTAACGCGCGTCCGGCGGGGTGCGGCGATCTTTTCATTGCAGTTTGCACTGCAGAAAAAGGCTGAAAACTGTGAAAGCATGTGTACCGCGTGGTGAAAAGTATTTTTTGGAGGAAGCGCTCTTCCCCTATGTCACTTTCCTTTTGATGATCTTTTTGTGAACAGATCACTCTGATAGTTAAATTATACAGTCTTCTATTGATATCGTTGTCGCCCTTTGCCGTCGGGTTTGTAACAGTTGGATAGCAACTGAATTTCTGTGCCTTCAATGTGGATGAAAAGAAAAAAATGATGCGGCAAAAGCAAAAAAATGATGCGGCAATAGCAAAAAAGTGATGCGGAAATAGCAAAAAAAGGACTGCGGCAATATAGAAACCTGTGTAACGGCTCCTGTGCGACTTTGCATGTAACGCCCTGCGTGCGGCAAACATGTGCCAATGTAACGCTTCATGGCCTCACTGCGGCAACATATATTGCCAGTACGGTAGATTACACCCGCACCACAGTACAGGTAAAGGCGAGAGCTGTGGCCGAAAAATGGCAAACGGAAAAGATGCCTGGCGCCATTCCGTACCTGTCCCGTACCGTACCATCAAAGACAGCTGGCCACAACATTCAAATAGGGCTTTCAAATGCAAGATCATAACGTGAAGCAACTTACTTGGAGTATGTATGCGAAGTGTATTGGGGGAATGCATGCAGGGCGATAGTGCGGGTTCGGATCCCAGGAAATGTCTTGAAAAAAATAGGAGAAATGAAAAATGTGTAACATCCCTATGATTTTTTCGTAAGTTGGTCATCAAGGTGGTAGACGGTGATGAGCTAGGCAAAAAAAGCATAGCGCAGGGCCCTGAGCTTCCAAGCTCTCTCGGTTCAGTATAACCTTGCAGTCCACACCCACTTTAGACTTGGCTGGGTCTGCAGGGCAAGGCTCTAGCAAAGTTGTCCTTATGGTCTTTGAGTGTTAGAAATGCTTCTGACTCATTGAGTATGTCCATGAGGGAGGGTATGGCAGGTCGTGTACTTTTAAAGGAAGTTCAGTGGTTGCTAAGAGATATGATTCACGTGATACAATAATTATATCCCTGGTAGGCTTTCCCCAAATCAAGTTTTTTCGCCTTTTCGCCTTTTCGCTAGGCTCAAAAATACATCAGATTCGGCTGCAAAATCAGCTGATTGTTCGAAAATCGGCTACAAAATTGGAATAATTATATTGGGAAATCGGCTAAAAGAATTGTTGGCATATTGGCTTCAAAATTGCACTTTGCAACAACATTTGGTACTTCAAAGTAGATTTTTCGGCAATTCTCAAAGAAACCCTCCAAAATCGGCGAAAAGCTAAGCGATTTTTCAATAAATTAATGTAGAAAGGAAAAGGACATAATTATGGAAACGAGTAACTCTCCACCACTGTAACTAGATACTATAATAGAAAGTGCAAAAACTTCCATATGTCCTTTTTCCTTTCTACATTGTATTATTGGCTCAAACCCGAGTTTCAGATTTTTCCATAAGTCTCGTTTTCAGCGAATTTTTTTGGACATCGGAAGCTCAACAGTGCAGGACGCCCGATTTGGTGAAAGCCTATCGAGCGGTCATGCTTGCAGCAACATCATTCGTTCGTAAACGCACTTTGGAACAACATTTGGTAGATTTTCGGCGACTCTCAAAGGAACCCTCCAAATCGGGGAAAAGCTGAGCGATTTTTTTCGAGAAACCACGAACCTCGAGAACAGAATACTGCATGATAGAGGTGGTTGCAGACGCAACTGTGGTGGTGAAACTGGAGCATCTCCGCCGACCTGAGGTCTCGGCTTCAGTGACACTTCAGTGCACCAAAAACTGGGGAGGAGTAGGCACAGGGAGAGGGGAGGGGGGGGGGAGTACATTGATATAGAGGAAGGAAAACGGAAAGATGATACATGTGATAGAGTAAAAAAATAAAAAATGAATAAAAAGGGGGGAGCCAGGGTGCAAGCGGAGAGGGTGTTCATGAATTTGGGGAAAGCCTAATCCTCAGTCATGTTTTCTCTCACAAACCACTTACCCGCAAACTTGACTTGACAGCATTTAGGTCTTGTGTTAGGTTGGCAGAGTTTCTCTCTGAGCTCTGTTGAAGGATAACAATCCAAAGGCCAATACAACACACAACAATCATGAGATACACGAAACATAAATCATCACGCTATGCTATGAGCCTAATTACACAAGTTGATCATATCCAATAATTGAGCAAGACATTGGCAGTAAAACGGGCATGTGTCACTTCCGTCATTGAGAAACATCAGCATCCCATATACTCGAAGTACTACAAAGGCAGTACTTAAAGTATTACATGTATCTGGTTATCAGCATCAGAATTCTGGCACTTCGAACAGCAAGCTAGAGGTTACTCTGCTGATTATTTACCTGAATCTTTTTATCTGTTCCTTAACATACCTTAAACTTGGTTTGAAGCTGACCCAAAGTCTGTTGCAGGCTCGCAGCTCTTGTATTTGAGCTCTGAAATGAACAAAGTCGACAGGTTACGACACAATCATTATACGATTAGAGTTTCTCGCGAATATTAGATTCCCTGAGAAAGGGGTAGAGGTGTGTTCAAACCAGAACTAACCAATAACTTGGGTACATTACGGTAGCTTGAATAATGCATTGCTAGGCCCCTGAGGCTGCCACGACAACCAATCCCTATGTGCACATACGGGATTTCTCTCTCTTTCCTCAAACCAGAGCAAGGTATAATCATTGTTGTACATGCATTACATCCCCCTAACCCCTCCACTCCACTCTGCTCCCCTCCACTCCCCTCCCCCCCCCCCCTTCCCCTCCACTTCACTCCCCTCCACTCCCCTCCCCTCCCCTCACAGACTGTTTGTCTGTCAACTGACTTACCTCAAACTTAGTTTGCAGCTGGCCCAAAGCTTGCTCAAGACGTGCAGCTCTCCCGTCAGAATTCTACGTTGAGAGAAACGTTAGATTTGCCAACACACGAAATAACTTGCACGTCTTGCAAACGGGATTTTTGAGCCAGGTACACGGATACCTTGCTCATTGACCTCGCTTGCAAGATTTTTCCAATCGGATGGCAATACTGTGTGTAGTTTTCGAGTTTAGAAACAATGAATGAGAACTGATGCATATCGAAGTCTCCATTGTATCGTAGGATTGAATTCAACGGTGATTGGAATTTGTTGTTTGTTTGTGTGAAATCTGGTTTTGGACGTAGTCGTGGAAGTAAGTTCTCTAAGCTCAGGTGAGTGCTGCACTTTTGCTGTACCGACGGTGCACTGAGCTTTGGCAGGCTCCCATTCTCTCACGGTTCTGTGTAGTGCATTTTGTCACTGGATTCTGATCGAAAGGATGGCAGTGGCAAAATGCATTACACAGAATCGAGAGGGTTTCGGTGCATGCCAATGCAGAGTGCAGCGTAGTAAACAGGGATTTCGTACCGTGCCATGGGATAACATGACATATAACCTAGAGACAGTTTGGGGAGTCTACATGCAGCCTACACAAAGGTCTGGGAGTCTATATACCTATACACAGGTCTGTGAGTCTCCATACAATCTACATACAGGTCTGGGAATCTGGGACATACACCATCACCAAGAAGCATAGTGTAACAAGACTCAGAGAGGAATTTCAATACTATTCTCCCTCCTACCTCCTTCTTTAAAAAGCACATTTTAGCAAATTACTGTTTCACCCTGTTGGTGGACCATGCCTGAACAATCTGCTGAACCTAAAGTGATCTCTGCAGCAGAGAGACCATAATTATTATTATGGATTGAGGAAAAGAGAAAACTACTTTAACAAATGAAAGAGTGATCACAAATCCGTACTCACCTGGATGTATGTGGTATGGTTTTGCTGTATTGCTTCCAATCTCTGATTGAGGTTTCGATTGACGGTGCCTTGGAGACGGGAGAGAAAAGCAGCGACTGCGTCGGACGACTTCCTCACAGCATCTGCTGTGCTCGTCAGCAGGCTGTTCGTGATGGTGGTAAGTTTGGACAACGATGACGTCATGTTTGCCAGGATGTGTTTGGACAACCATTCTGTCATACAGCCAGCACACAGTGAAAAACAAACCAAGTGTACTTCACGTCAAGAAAACAGAACAACTATACAGCTGATTTTACTCTCCGAAGGGGAGAGACTTTGATGACCAAAGATTGTCATCACGTTCATCAGGACAATTGCAAGAAAAAAACACCGTGATTACCGATGCATTTGAGCAATTATTGCTCCCAGTTGATAGAGTGATAGACAGACAAACAGAGAGAGAGAGAGACTGAGACAAAGAGGCAGAGACAGATAGATACAGAGACAGATAGATAGAGAGACAGATACAGAGGAACACAGAGAAATGGAGACAGAGAGACAGAGGCGGCAGATGAGAGCGGAAAAGAATAGAATAAAAGAGACGAAGAGAAGTAGCTTGGCAAATATGTCAGTTAGCAATATCAGGCTGCAGCCAGCACTTTTGCTTTGCTTTCCATAGTTGTGTTCTCATTCCTATGGAAATGTAGCAAGGTAATCTAGGACTCATGCTATCAAGACGAAGGTGTGCTGTTGTGGTAATGAATATTATCATCCATGCCCTAGATACCCAGTGGATGCCACTAGTATGTGGGCAGGTCATTGACATTATTCACTGTTGAAAGGGGACGAAGAAGACCCTTGCTTCCCATTCAATTGCATACATATTCAAATGATTGTGTTTTGTAGTTTGGGAGGTCATTGTCGCCAGCCATGGCCAGTTAGCACCATGGTGGATAACGTTATCATGATACAATAGACATGTGTCCGTACTTACGTCTTTGACAATGTCGTCCTGTGTAGAGTGTGGGACATTGGCATGTGTATCCTTCACTTGTCTCCTGACAAGTACCACCATTCTTACACGGTGATGATGAACAGCTAGGTAACGCTGTGGTTTACAATGTCATGTACACGGGACAAACAAACAAAACAACACCGGTTCATGAATACCTCCGTCTTTCAACCAGCCAAGAGGTTAAAGGGATACGTATTCTCAGAGAACACCCTTGATTCAGGCTTCGGCCTGTGGGGAATCCCCTCAAATAATAATAATAAGGGTTGAGTGGAATGCAAACCAACATGGCTGTCTGGTATATTCATGTGATAGATGTGAAACCACCCTATTCATCAGTCCCGACTGTTCCAAGACACTGTAAACTGGAGATAATGTTCAACAACACAAGTCCGCAGTAGAGTTGTGCTCGGTGAAATCCGAACCAAAGTGCATATTTTGCGCCTTCAACTTACACGGCCATAGATACCCTGGAAGTGGTACGTATTGTGCTGCCGCTGGACGTACACATGCACAAGTACAGTTATGTAATCGGAACTGATCCAGGTTGTCAGTTTAGCACTTTGTGTGGGATTTCAGTTAGTTCAACTTTGATTATCAATTTGTGTGGGATTTCAGTGAGCTCAACTGTACTTATCCATTTGTGTGGATTTTTTAGTGAGCTGCTCAACTGTACAAATCACTTTGTGGGGGATTTCAGTCAGCTACTCAACTGTACTCGTATCACTCACCATGCTGACAAAACCGTCCGCTGACACCCCTAGAGCACACACATCTGTACCCTGGGTTGGGTGATCCTGATGAACCAGGTTCCCTACTGTACACACACCGACCAAGATGCTGGCATGGTGATTGTCGCAGGCACTCTGTATCATCATGGTTACCTTCAAACACAGGAACAGTAAAAATTGATTCACCAAACTTGGATAATTGAAGTTTTCTGTTTCCGTGATCAGGATGTGTGTGTGTGTGTGTGTGTGTGTGTGTGTGTGTGTGTGTGTGTGTGTGTGTGTGTGTGTGTGTGTGTGTGTGTGCGTGTGTGTGTGTGTGTGTGTGTGTGTGTGTTTGAATGCGTGAAATAGAGAGAGCGTGTTCATTCATCTAATAACAGCGGTCTGACATTCTGCTGTCTCGCATGTTTTGTGGACAATTCGTGGTGGATATAGTGAAAACCGTTATACATACCGTATCGTGTGACCCGTTCTATTCTTCCTTGCCCCAGTACACGTAAAAATTCTAATGTGACGGAGTTGGATAAGGCCAGGTTTTAGAAAAAAAGTTGGACAGGTATACCATGACAAAATGTATGGGGAAGCAGATCCAACACAAAAATTTTAATATTTGAGTGAGGTCTTGAGCATTACTTTGGTCCCAATTGTGTTTTCAAAAGTCAGTAAGATTATTCTAGGTGAATGTTGTGTAGAAATGTGCAGAGTAAGTACACCGTATGTACTGAGTTCTTGTAATTGCAATCCAGCAAATATCCAATATGCTCTGTTAGACAGAACATGGCAGAATCATCAACTCAGAAAACTTACCCATGCAGCGATAGAGGAAATTCACAGCCTGCTCATTTCCACCGAGAACTGCTGCCAGGAGTTCCGGGTCAGTATCGTGAATATTGTCCTCATCAACAGCTATTCTGAGCTGCTTCATCACCTTCTCAAGTCGCTGCACGTCTGCACTCGATACACCACTGCCTGCTGTAGCGGCAGTCAGCCATCTTGTCATACAGGTATCTATGGCAACCAGGACACCAGATAACATGAAAATGATGACATCATACGAGCAATCATTTGCGAAGTAAACATTGACACCCTAGTCAGATTGGATCTAGATTATGGATGCCATTTGTTTGCAGATAGGGACAGTCCCCTGTATCCGATAATTATACAGTCGTCCCTCTCTAATCTGGCACTTTATAATCCAGCACCCTCGATAAACCAGCACAATTTTCAGTAGCCAAAATGTCCTCTTCATGCATATTGCAGCAGTAAATCAGATTTGTTAATCCAGCACCCTCCCTAATCCAGCAGATTTTCGTGGCACAAATGGTGCCGGATTATAGAGAGACCACTGTACTGATAATGTCGTATGCTGCATGTTCTGTGTCAATGGTCAACGCCTCAAATCGTCTGCAGTGCGTCAATCCAGGACAGGACTGACTGCTGTGGTGTTGCACTATGGCAGGCCAGGTGGCCCTAAGCGCATACCCGCTCATCATGGCTAACCAACTGACTGGATAATAAGTTAATAACAAGGTGAATCTCTTT